AGCCGTGGGGCGGGGGTCTGGAAGCAGTGGGTCTGGGAGCAGTGGGTCAGGGGTCTCTGACATGGGCATTCATTTCTCCCCCCATCGCCCCCAGGCTGCGGCGAGAGGATTGAGAACACCATGGAGGCTTTTACCCAGTGAGTGACCCCCAAGCGCCCTCTCCCACCCCTCCGCCCGCACCCCAGCCCCCCTCCCTGGTGTACCCCTGCTCCTGCGTGCCCCTGGCTGTGCCCCTCCCTGACCCTACTCCCCCAGCCCCCTCTCCCTATTAGTACATAAGAGCGTCTGGAACAGGTCAGCCAGAGGGTCCATCCAGGCTCGTGTCCCGTCTGCCAACGGCAGCCAGTGCCGGGGCCCCAGAGGGAATCACCGAGTGACCCACCCCCTGCACCCATTGCCAGCCCCTGGCAAACAGAGGCCTGGGCCACCATCCCCGCCCAGCCTGGCTAGTAGCCACTGATGGACCTGTCCTCCACGAGCGTATCTAGCTCTTTATTGAGCCCTGTTACAGCCTTGGCCTTCACAGCGTCCTGCAGCGAGGAGTTCCCCAGGTTGACTGTGTGTTGGGTGTTTGTTTGTTTTAACCTGCTGCCGACGAATGTCATTGGGTGACCCCTGCCCCCCCCCCCCCGTCTCCCCGCAGCGCGGTGGCCCAGGGGACCCAGCTGCTGGAGCTGGACTGTCAGCGCACGCGGGACGGGGTCGTGGTGGTGTCCCACGACCAGAACCTGCAGCGCCAGGCAGGCCGGGACCAGAACATCCGGGAGCTGAACTATGTGGTAAGACCCCCGGGCCCCCCACAGAGACAGCCCCCTGGGACCCCCTGGCCCCTCCAGAACCCCCACCCCTATAGACAGCCCCATGGGGACCCCCTGGCCCCCACAGAACCCCCATGGAACCCCCTGACCCCATAGACAGCCCCACAGGGACCCCCTGACCCCCACAGAACCCACATGGGACCCCCACAGGGACCCCCACAGAACCCCCTGACACCTGTAGACAGCCCCACGGGGACCCCCTGACCCCCACAGAACCCCCTGACCCCCATAGACAGCCCCATGGGGACCCCCTGACACCCACAGAACACCCATGGGACCCCATGACCCCCACAGAATACCCATGGGATCCCCACCCCCATAGACAGACCCACGCGGACCCCCTGACCTCCACAGACCCCCCCAGGACCCTCACCCCCATAGAAAGCCCCATGGGGACCCCCAGATCTCCACATAACCTCCACCAGACCCCCACCCTCATAGACTGCCCCACAGGGATCCCTCGACCCCTATGGGAAACCCCAACCCCCAGAATGTCTAACTACCCATAGACACCCCAATCCATCGAACTCCCCGCACCCAGGTCCCCAGCCACCTGAGACCAGGCCATCTGGGACCTGGACTATGGGGGGACTATGGGGTGAGACACCCCCAAGCCCTCATAGATACCCTAGGAGCCCCCAACCCCAGACACGCCATGGGGACCCCCCACACTCCAAGCCCCCAAATACACCCCCCACAGGAGCTCCTCCCCAGCACCCCAAAACCCCCTCCTGGGAACAGGCAATCTGGGGTGAGAGAACCCCCAGACCTCCCTGTCAGCCCCCACCTGGATTACCAGATGAGCCCCTCCCACAAGTTAGCTCCTTTCCTGGGGTGTCTGCTGCCAACCCCCCCCAGATTGCTGACTCCCCACCTCTCTCCCCCAGGATCTGCCCCCCTATAGAGACCCCCTGGAAGTGACCTTCTTGCCCGGTAAGTAACCAGTTCCCTCCAGCCCCCACAGGAGGTTTTCCCCTGGGAGGGGGGGACCCCAGGGCTGGGAGGGGGGGCACCAGGGGGCTATCCCTGGGAGGGGGGGGCACCAGGGGGCTCTCCTCTGGGAGGGGAGGGGACAGGCCCACCCACTCAACACCCCCCTCCATCTTCCCCTCCAGGCGCCTTCTCCTACGGCTCTGACCGCCGCATCCCGCGCCTGGAAGAGGTTTTCCAGAAATTCCCCAACGTCCCCGTCAACGTGGAGATCAAACAGGACGACGAGGAGCTGATCCGGCAGGTGAGGGACCCAGGCGTCCGGCCCTGCCTTTCACAGGGACTGAGCCGTGTATATGGGCCAGCCTGGTCCTGTTGGTAACTCACCAGAACCCCTCCTCCCCGAGGCCTTGGGAGAACCCAGGAGTCCGGGCTCCCAACCCCCTGCTCTAACCCCCTGAGCCGGGGAGTGAACCCAGGAGTCCTGACTGTCTGTCTGTCCTACCCTCAGGTGGCGGATCTCGTCCGGCGCTACCAGCGCTCCCACATCACCGTCTGGGCCTCCTTCCAGAGCAAAATCCTCAAGAAATGCAGGGCAGCCGTACGTCTGTCCGACCCTCCCGTCTGTCCGTCTGTCCCACCCTCCCTCTCTCCCACCTCC